CATCTACAAAGTCCATCAGTTGAGTCATGTTATGTCATTTTCGTTTGGGTCATCTTTCTTTTTCTGCACTGTCATTTATTCCCAGAACTGTTTAAGGGAATTAGTCTGTCCAGTCTTCATTGTGAGTCGTGTGAATTGTCAAAACATTGTAGAAGCAGTTATCCTTTGAGTAATAAAAGATCTTCTCCATTTCATATTGTGCACTCTGATGTGTAGGGGCCTTACCACTTAACTTCTATGGGCGGCTACAAATATTTTATCTTGTTCATTGATGACTTTTCTCGATTCACTTGGATATTTTTTATGAAGTCTCATAATGAAGTTCCTAGACTTGTAAGGCAATTCCATGAATCTGTTCTAACCCAGTTTGATACCAGAATTAAAATTTTCAGATACGACAATGCAAAAAAATATTTTGAGAAAAACCTAACCTACTATCTCACTAATTTGGGGGTTATTCACCAAAGCTCCTATGTTAGGATCCCATAACATAATGGAGTTGTTGAAAGAAAAAATCGGCATATTGTTGAAGTTGCAAGAAGTATCTTATTTGCCTCACATGTTCCTACAAAATTTTGGGGTGATGTTGTTCCCACTGCAACCTACCTAATCAACCGTATGTCATCCATTGTTTTGGGGTTTAAGTCTCCCTTCAGTCTCCTTCATCCGGGCAAGGATCTTTTTCTTATTCCTCTCCGTGTCTTTGGCTGCACTTGTTATGTACATATCCCAAGTGTCCAAAGACATAAATTTGAACCAAAAGCCCACAAATGTACCTTCCTTGGTTATTCCCCCACACAAAAGGRTTATTGTTGTTTTGATCCCAAGACTGGCACTCAGTATGTCTCAATGGATGTCACCTTTGATGAGTTCTCTTCCTTTTATGATTCTTCTCAGGAGAGGCATTGTCCAAAAGGGGAGAATTTGTCACAGTTGTTTGCTCTCCCCCTTCCTGTCCTAGTTGAGTCTTCTGTTGAAACTCTTCCTCCTTCAAATGAGTCAAGGGAGGATCAGTCATTTCATTCTCATTCTAGTATTCCTATCCCTCCTCCTTTACCTCATTGTCCTCTTTTTAATTCCAGGTTGTACCAACGGCAAAGAACCAGAAGTGAGCAGATTGTTTCCCCTACAGCACATGAGCCTCCTACACTTCCAGTCACAAAAGAGACAACAGGTACTAATACAACCCCTTTGGAGTCATCATTTCCAGACCTTGATATCCCTATTGCTATTAGGAAAGGAAAAAGGAAGTGTATTGCACATTGCATTTCCAAACACCTTTCTTATAGTTTGCTCTCTTCTTCATATTTTGGCTACCTTTCTTCTGTTGCTTTTAATCCAATTCCCAATTCTGTGTCAGAAGCTCTTACTATTCCAAAATGGAAGGATGCTATGAGAACAAAAATTGATGCCCTGCACAAGAATGATAGTTGGGAAGTGGTTGATTTACCTGATGGGAATGATCCAGTAGGCTGTAAGTGGGTTTTTACCATCAAATATCATGTTTATGGCACAATTGAAAGGTACAAGGCTAGACTGGTTGCAAAAGGTTATACACAAACATATGGGATTGATTATCTAGAGACCTTTGCTCCTATTGCCAAGATGACTTGTGTGAGAGTTTTGCCATTTCTGGCTGCACACTCAGACTAGCCACTTTATCAGCTAGATGTAAAGAATGCATTTCTGAATGGAGAGTTACATGAGGAGGTCTATATGTCTCTTCCTCCAGGGATGTATGAAACAGATATGAAAGGGAAGGTCTGTAGGTTGAAGAAATCTTTTTATAGACTTAAATAGTCCCCTAGAGCATGGTTTGAAAGGTTTATGGCTGCCTTGTTAGCTTTGGCTATGTACAGGCACAATCTGATCATACCCTCTTTGTGAAGAGGAGAGGATCCTTGGCCATTTACCTGATTGTGTATGTTGATGATATTCTTGTGACTGGTAATGATGTATCAGGGATTAATGATCTCAAATTTTTCCTTCATACAGAGTTTAAGATCAAAAATCTAGGGGAATTGAGATACTTTCTTGTCATAGAAGTTGTTAGATCCAAAGATGGGATCCTTATCTCTCAAAGAAAGTATGTACTTGATTTGCTCTCTGAACAGGGAAGATGGGTGCTAGACCAGTTGCCACTCCTATTGATATGAGTCCTAAACTCTCCGATTCAGATGGAATATTGTTGAAAGATAAGGAAGTCTTCCAAAGGCTACTTGGAAAGCTTCTCTATCTATGCATGACTCGGCCAGACATTGCATATGCTACCAGTTGAATTAATCAGTTCATGCATGCTCCCAAGGATACTCACATGGCAGCAGCAGAGTAGATTCTATGTTATTAGAAGAGTTCCCCTAGAAAGGGGATTCTATTTACTAAGCATGGCCATATGAAACTTGAAGCCTACACAGGTGTTGATTGGGCCGGAAACATTGATGACAGAAGATCTACCTCTTGGTATTGTAGCTTGGTGGCAGGTAATATTGTCTCTTGGAGAAGCAAAAAACAATCAGTTGTTGCTCGATCTTCATCCAAAGTTGAATACAGAGCCATGGCTCATGGAGTTTCTAAACTACTGTGGCTTAAATCCTTGATAGAGGAACTAGGTATTGAGCATGATAAACCAATGATATTATACTGTGATAATCAGGCTGCCATCAACGTTGCTTACAATCCAGTGCAACATGACAGAACTAAACATATTGAAGTTGACAAACACTTCATTCGGGAAAGAGTGGCTTCTGGAGAGGTGTGTCTACCTTTCATCATTTCTAAAGGACAGTTAGCTGATTTCCTCACCAAGGGCATTCCCAAGGCTAAACTTCAGCATGATACTGGCAAGCTTGGCATGATTGACATTTATGCTCAACTTGAGGGGGAGTGTAGAGAAGATGGGCCGAATGGCCCATAGGCTGTTTATCCTTTTTTTATCTTTTATGTTCTTTGTTGTAATGGGCCTTAATCTGGGCTTTATTTTTTCTTATGTTTTAATTTTCTCCCCAACTAGGGGCCTCTCTATAAATTACTAAAGTTTAACTTAATGAAATGGAATTAGGGGTGTAAGAGAGAAGGTTGTGTTCGAAAATCTCTCTCTCTAAACCCTAGTTGCCGCCATCTTCTTCTTCTCCTTCTCTCTTCTTGAAACCTAATTTCTGCTACTTCCTTTTGATTTTCTGCAACTTTTTAAACAGTTCTTTCTTTTCAAAATGCTGTTTTTTTCTATAAGCAAAAGCAAACCCCCAACCAAATTTCTAACACCCACAACTCCTTCCTCACCCCATTCAAGCTTCACCCAGACTTCAATTATCTCCTTCTCCAACTCTACTCCAGCAAGCCTACCAACAAAACAAGCATTCAAGACCCTTAACCTCTCATTCAAATTTTCTTCATGTCTCACATCGACCTGAACCATTAACCTCTCATGTTTTGTGTAAAGATGCACAAAACAGAATGTCAACATGACCTCTGGTGTTATTTAGCCTGAAGACATTGAAAATAATTGTGGGAAGAGTGCCAAGTAATAAGAAGAGTGGCAATAGAAGCTCCACTTTTCTGTTGTTTTTAAGTACTGTTGCTTTAAAAGCATTTAATATTTGTGCTACTTGACTTATTATTACAACATATTCCAGTGGTAGAAGGAATCAACTTATAAACTCTTATCTTTTATATTCAATGCGTGAGCTCTTGCACTTTGGGGTAAATGTAGTAAATTATCTAGATTGAATCTTGGTTCTAAACCTAAGTGGGTGTATGACACGCTAAATGCAGCAGTTTTATCTAATAGAGGGATTAGATCTAGTAAACTCCTTTGCTCTGACTTTGATTTAGAGCCAATTTATATACTTGCTTCCTATTACTAGGACAAAATTCTAGTGAATAGCTAACCCCAATTTTTCCACTTCTAGAAGCAGTTTTCTAACTTTTGCAACTATTAAGTTCTTTTGTCTACAGTTCGGATGTAGATGAGCTTGAGAGGAGGTTGGCAGCCCTCAGAAACCCATGAAGCGAAGATTGGAAATATGTTTAGTATCTTTGAGAGTTGATTAACTCAGATTTTCTTTATGTTGTATATTTTGTCTAGCATGTATATTTTGTATAGTGGTCTTGTTGTATATTGGCACAAGGTTAGAATTTTGTGTCCTTGAGGCAATATATGCACATGGCGCCACCTATGAATTAAACTTGGGATCTCTCATTGGAGGCTTACTTAATGACATGGATTGTAAAATGTCAAATCTTAATTATTCATTGAATAGCAAAAGCATGGACAATTTTGGATGGCTGAAGTATATTCTCACAGCCTAAGGAAAATATCTTACTGAAGGTTTTTTAGATTGATTTATAAATGGGCCATAACACAGTATTATATGAAAGACACAAAAGGGTAGATCTGTTAACAATACATACGCATGTTTTATTTCTTTTGTATTTAGAATGCTTCATTATTTTTTTTCTATTCCCTGCAATTGATGTTTTTATCTAGAACAATGTAAACTCCAAATTAAAAGGAGAAGGAACTATGGGCATGGAATCAAGGAAAAGGTTTTGCAATTAATGCTAAGGCTCAGTTTGGAAAGAGTACAAATGCAATTATGTAGAGTGCAAAACCTTGTATTTTGTATTATTTTACTTGTATTTGTACTCCTTCCAAACTGAGCCTAAGTTTGTGTTTGATAACTGCTCAAAGACAGAAGGGGGAGGGTGAAGGAAAAGATTCTAAATTTAAAACCCTTGCTAAATTCAAGGCATCAATGGTATGTGATGAAGTTTTTATGGGTTTTCAGCTTTCAGCATCTAGTTCAACTATAATCAAAACCCACTTTAGTGTTTATGCTTGTTGAGCTAAAACTTCAGAGACAAGTACTTCATGAAAAGATGTTTTATAAAGCATATTTGTAAAGAACTATAAACGACTTTAAAATGCTAAAACGACTTCCTAATTAAAGAACTCGATTCAAATATTAAGAATGGTGAAAAAACACAAACTTGGTTCGTACCTGTAAACGGTAAGACGATTGAACGGTACAAGGTCTCTGGATTTTCTGGAGAAAAAATCAAACAAAACATGAGAATGGTGTTTGGATATACCGACATGGCTAGATGAGAGAACGAAAAGAAAAATGAAAGAGAGAAAAAGCGCGCCTGTGGAGATATCAACTACACGGCGTCGGAGAAGTTGTATTACCCTTGGGCGAAATGTCGAGGAAGATGGAATGAATGCGAACAAGAGAATAGCGAGAATCACGATTCAGGATTCTCACATACATTTTAGTATCAACTATTAGAAATAGGGTAAATTTCTTAAACTATCCTAATGCTTTTGCTAATTGACTAAACGTATCTGTATTGTTTAAAAATTGACTAAAGCTGCCCTTACTGTTTATTAATACCCTAATGTTTCGTCATAAACCATTCAAATGTATATCACGTGACTGCTTTAACTTTCAAAAATATCAAATTTACCCTTATTATAACTTTCACCACCGGCATCAGCTTCGACGGAATATCTCATTGTCCCCTCTAACGCACCGGCACTAGCATCTCTGGCACAGACATCTAATACTCACAGTTGGAAATGGACAGCCAACGTCTCTAGAGGTTTGGAACGAGCATCCACATAACGGCTGGTTAGCTGGTTCAGAACAACGTCTCCGGCACCAGCACTAGCTGGGTTTGAAAAGAATTTTCAAAATAAAACCCAACTCCGAACCCTCTTGCTTCGTGAGATTAACCAGAAAGTCATTAGTACTAGATCTCTAAGAAGTGACTAGAACAGCTGAGTGAAGAACCAAAAGAAGAAAAAAGAGGACGAGAGATCAGCATTGCCGGAAAGTTAGCCGAAGATAGACTCTGCTATGAAACTTCGGGCAAGTGGCAATCGGAAGAATGGAGTATAATTGGAAAACGGGAGAGATTTGGTTGGAGTCTTGAAAATTCAGCATAAGAAAATGAGTTATTCTTCTATTCAGCTCAGCTCAACCCAGCTCCAGAGAGAGAGAAAGTTGTACAATCAATCCTGATTTTGTTTACTCTCACCTAGTGGTATCTGGTTTCACCCGATGAAGAAAACCATATGCATGCTAATGTCACATTTTGTAGTTATTGATACTACTAGCTTGCGTTGGTTGGTTGCAGAAAGATCTATTACTTTTATGAACTTCCATTCTCCAACTCTGAAAACATAATTTTGACCTATTGAAATTGGGTTAGCTTCTTTTCTCATCACTAAATCTGTTAACATATTCAAAAAGAGTTTAGTGTCCTCTTCTATTGCCACACCCAAATCTTCCACCTACCTCCTCATGGTGTCCATCCTTCCTGAAACTAAGCTCATCAACAAATCCTATTGCAGTGTTTCTTACTGGCACACTCAATTAACAGTCGATCTCTTTCCCAAATTCTCCTTGTCTCATCTTTTCCACCAAACTCCAAAGTTGGGTCTTGGGTAACACGCAACGATAGCATATTTGTAATCTAATATGAAATTATGCTCTTATGTTTTAAGCCATCAAATAGTAATCCTTTTTTATGCACCACAGATACTGGAGCTTTTGGGTTTGAAAGGTTAGGGCTTTGATGAACCACCATCTCTTTCTCCTTTTCTCTGTTTTATTTTGAAATTTTGAATAAGAATAAAGGGTAAAATAGTCTTTTTATCTTTTTATTAAGGAACGCTAACGGTAAGGGAAGTATTAGTCAATTGTTAGAAACAGTAGGGGTAACATTAGTATGCTACGTTTGGTTTGAAGGAAAAGGTAGGGAAATGAAGGGAAAGACAGAGAAACTAATACAAGGTTTGTAAAGGTTTCCATACATTCCCTTCCTTTCCCTACATTTTCCTTCAAATCAAACATAGCCTAAGGGTACACTTAGTCAATTAGCTAAATCATACGGGTAGTCTAAGAAATTTACCCTTAGAAATACTAGCAGAGGGGCTTGGATCTGCTTTGTACACAGGGTGCCTCACACCCACCTCATAGGCACATCTCACCATGCATTGAGAACATCTTCCACACTTATACGTTATTATTCAAGGGATATGTTTCTAATGCATGTGAGGTGCCCTATGTAAGGAATAGATCCCAATTCCCCGAACGGGATCTGCTCCTCACACTTGGGCGCCTCATGCACATCCACCATGCATCGGGAACATCTCCCGTGAAAAATAACAAGTACGGGAGATGTTCCCAATGCATGCTAGGATGTGTGTGTGAGGCACCATATCTGAGGAGTAGATCCGGTCTCCCAATTCCTTGTGTTGCATTGTAGGGGCAAAACATGATGGTAAGTGGTTTATTCAAAGAAAATCTATTGAATATAAATAAAAATTTATGGATAATAATATATTTAATTTAATAAAATAAAATAATAAATATATAAATAATCAGGACAATCAAGCAACAGAGCGAAAGAGGGAGATATTACTTTTATCATTGTATTTTTGTTTCATATAGTGGAAAAATTGTAAATAGTTAAATAATAATTATTTTAATTTAATAAATAAACAAATTTAATAAAATAAATGAGATAATACGCAATCAAGTGAGAGAGTAAATATATGCACAATTTTTTGTCTTACTTTGCTAGCAACAATAATTTGTTAGATTATTAAATTATTAACTAATTAAATAATTTAGTAAAATAAGTAAATAAATAAATAAAATTTTATGTATTATCAACACAAGATTGGTAAAGGCTATCTCAAGTTATTTAATTAATTAATTAAGTGTTGTTAATGGGTTGGGATGAACTATCGGGCTACTGAGCCCATGAACAAGCTTAGCCCGATTCATGGCTCGGCTTGGCCTAAGACTTGGCTCGCAGCACAACACGGGCCTGTAAAGGGTTGGGCTAAAATAAATTTTTAAAATCTATTTCTAATTTATGTTAAGTTTTTCATTATTTTTTTTTTCATTTTTTTAAAAAACATGGCTTAGCCCGGTTTGTGGCCCACCCTGGCCTAAGACTTGGCCAGCAGACCAGCCCGCCACGTGGCACGGCACGAGCCCGTGCAAGCTTGAGTTGTATATTATATACAATAATTATATAATATATTAATATATATGATTTTATTATTTCATATATAAACAATTGTACACATCAAAATATAAAATTTTAAGATCCTTTTTTTTATTTTTTGTCTATTTATTTTAATTTATGTTAAAATTTTCATTATTTTTTTCAAAAATTTTAAAAAACATGACTTAGCCTGGTTCGTGGTCCGGCCTGGTTCGTGGTCCGACCTGGCCTAAGATTTGGCCCGCGACACAGCACGGGCCCGCACAAGCTCGGGCCATATATTATATGCAATAATTATATAATATATATTTGGGTAAATCTCTTAAACTACCCCTAATGTTAATGAAATTGACAAACTATACCCTTACTGTTTAGATATTGTCTTGCGATACCCTTAAGTTTTCTGACAATTGTCTAACACCTCCCTTTCCGTTAATTTTTTGTTACACTCCGTTCATTCACATGTGACATCACGTGAATGTTAATTATTTTAAAATTCCTAAAATACCCTTATTGTTCACCGCCGCTGTTGGAACACCGTCACCAATGGCAATTGTAGTGAGACAATGACCAGAACACCATGGCCACCTCTCGGATGACAGAACACCATGACTACCTTGATGTCTCTTATTCTCCGCTTGTCACCCAAATCACTTCTGTTACTAAGGTAACACGGGCTGACTCCTTGCTCAAATCAAATACCATTAACCAAAAATAATTTATTAATTTGTTTTTTCGCTACTCGAAGATGGTCCCTAAAACACATCTAAAGTCCCAAAGGATTTACCCACGTCTCACCAGACTGAAGTTTTAGATTGTTCCTATTTAGGCAATCCTGTTCCCTTAAGAGAAATCTTAATACGGCTATAATTCTCTTTGAAATTAGGGAAGTGAGGAGAAGAACTTTGAAATAGGGAAAGAGACAAAGAGACTAATGAATCGTTCGTTGCCGAAGAAGGGCATGAAGCAATCGAGAATTGCCATCTGCCTTGTGGGTGGGGCGAGGAGGTTCGAACTCATGGGACCATCCATCATCAAAAACCTATTGAAGGTTTACCCGAGTTCACATGTTTTCCTTCCTGCAAAGTCCCTTGGACCATGGCTCCTTTAAGTTGTCTCTCCTCAAAGACGCGCCCAAGCTAGCTTTGCTTAGAATCTTTGAGCCCAAGAAGAGTTCCTTGTTGCTACATAGTAAATCACGTATCTTGTGACATTGGCAAAACGATGACCAATACCCTTGATCGAAGTCAAAGTGAAAATGATCTTCTGTTTCACATTGGCGTTCATGTTCAGAACACGAAGAATGTGTTGGGAAATCCTCATTTGCAACAGAAGACATGGTTGCGGCTTCCTCAATGCTCATTTTCTCTTATTTGATAGCACGCAGCAAATTGAGGGAGGAGAGCGGATTACCATGTATTTTTGTGCTCCCAAGAAATCTCTATTCATCTTCTCTGCTTTGCATAACAACGAACCAATGGCGGCAATCCCCTCTCCTCTTCGATCTCTCACTTACTCTCCCCTCCTTGTAACTTGATGGTGCACGATCTAGAAGCTCCTAACTGGAAGGTTGTTTGGGCGTGCTCACATGGCGAGCTGGATGAAACTGCAAAACAAGGATCAAAGAGACCAGGGTGGATGACCCGGTGAGGTCGCTCCGATGCTTAAGTCAATACTCTTGTTGTGGTTGCAAGCTAAAGTTTGAGTGCTAGGGAGCTTGAATGTAAGTAATCGCGCGTACTTAGGCCCCAGAGGGGTTATTGCCCTTATATAGTTGATTGTCGTGGGTCTCACGAAACGGTTCTAGGATCTTCGGCTTGAGTGGATGAGATCCGTTTTTGCTTTAGTCGGGGAGTAACGTATCAGTCAATGAAGTCTATCATTTCTGCCCGATCCGGGCAGGGAGAGAATAAGGCCTGCCATTACGCAATGTGATCCCGTGAGGTTCAGAATCCACTGGGAAGCTTCTAGAGTTGATTACGTGTCACTTTGGTTCTTGGGCCCCGAACTGGATTAGGTGCCGAGGTGACTCTATGCCGAGGTGACTTTATGCCGAGGTGATCGAACACCCGAGCTCTAAAAACTGCTGACTAGGCTTCTTTTACTGAGTTGTCACCCTTCGGGCAGATCATGTCCACGTGACTTTTACTTACTAGGTCATGCAAAATAACTCCTCATCAATTGCCCCCCACTCCTCGTGCCAGGGGTCTTGACCCGGCGCGGGGAGTTCATGACGAGCCCAAGTGGATTTGGCACGAAGTCTAGGTGATATGGAGAGTGAACCGTTGGTCGAACCTGTTCAACAGTTTGACTCAACTAGGAAGTGACCCAAATCGGTATCAGGTACGCACGGATGTCAAGCCGATTATAGTCTCTACGGACATCAAAACGCATGCTAAACTGATTTCAACCTTGGGAAGCGTGCAACCGGTTTTCCTAGGAGTCATTGGATCGTGCAGAACTCGGCTGCTGATTCTTGGATATATTAGTTATAAATAGGGGCCAAAGGGCCCATTTTCTTCACCACAAAACCGTGAATCCAAAGTCCTTGAGGTCACATTCAAGTATCTCAACTCGGTGTTAGCTATTCCTAGGTCTGAGGTCGTCTTGCTCACTTTGGTCTTCCTTTGGTGAGTTCGCCTTCCTTTGATTTCGATTCTGTTGTCCTTTCTGTTAGTATGTCTAGTCTTAGCTTAGATAACCTTTTAGATGGGAGTGGCAAGTTTTCTAGGGCCAAGGTGGGGACCTCGGCACAAACCTCGGAGCCTCGTCCTACCGAGGTGGGCACTTCGACACAGGATGTGGACTCCAATCCGTCATAGGCGGACTCACCTCGGTGAGAGCAAGAGGCCTCTGGCAAGTCGGCCACCACCTCACACTGAGGTCGCATTTCGGACAACTTCGGTCTGTATACCATGACAACGGACAGGCTCCTATCTCTGGTAGAACAATACAGACTTCCCAACGACCTTGTATACAGTATTCCCTTAGGCAACTTTCCTTGGTAGCACA